TATGACTCTGAGTGTCAGTACAAATTCTTGTTGTGATATAAACCATGTCAAAAAGGGATCTTGGACAATTCAATTACAGATTATTGTAAAACAGCTCCATTATCATATAACCCTATTTCCTTCAGTGAAGAAATGTTAGTTGACTGTGCATTAGCCAGTATTCATCAGAATACAGCAAATTCCCAGTTATTCATGTGTGGATTATCTGAGCATGACTTAACAAATTCTTTTACATAAATGCAAACATGTCTGAACTAGGCCTTCAGCATGTTTCTGTGCCTGCTTTGGAGCAAAGAGGGTTGGTTTTTGAAGGGTCTACAGAAGGTATGGTAAAAAAATACCTTTTTAAGTGTTTACTGTCAGTATCAGTGTTGGAATGGGAGATATGTTCCAGTGGTCATGGTAGAGGTGTGTGTGGTCCTATAGTCATTATATTGTACTGTGCATCAGCTACACTTGGGGATCCTTAGTAAAATTGCTACAAATCATTAGGAAATTGTACTGAGAGTAAAGCAAAAGCTCAAGTTAATTGAAAAATTTGAGAACAGAATTTGCGACAGAATTAGCCAAAGATTATGGTATAGAGATTGAGTGAGTGTGCCCATGAAATGGTGCTATCAGGCTGATTTTTTCAGAGCTCTTGCCATTTAAGACAACAACATAACAAGGTTATGGAAAAAAATAGTGTTGAATGCTGTACACCATCTATGCTATATGCAGCATATCTCAGGTATGGTCTTGCATGAATCCAGTAGTGCTGGTTTGATCATGGAGGAAACTTCTTCGAGATCTAGATGGTGATCTATGAGGTTCTTTTAATGAAGAAATCAGCAAGTCTGAAATTCTCAACTTGTCTTAATATTATTCACTCATCTAACCCTGAGTTTTCCAGTCTGTTCTTTCAGGTTCTCCAACTGAAATTTTTAATACATTCTTCTGATCACCAATGTATGACTTCTAAATTTTAGAATTAAATAATTCCTTTAATAAAATCTTCTTGGGCAATCAGCCGCGTTAGCTGGTTCATATCAGAACCCTAAAGATGGGGACAGAGTTTGTTCCCAAAACATTGGTGTACTACGGTAACCAGCTAACGCGGCTGATTGCCTGAGAAGATTTCATTAATTGTACTCGCCACGAAAGTCTCAAATCCTATAAATAATTCCTGTTTTTCCTTTACAGCTGTGGAATTTTCAAGCAGATGGAAATATTTTCTCTTCATTTTGCACTCAACCTTCAAAAGCTGAGAAAAATACAGACCTGATCCTGTTTGGGTGCCATGATAAGAAGATATATTGCTTGGAAAGCTCAGCTGATTTAGTTTTACTGAGGTGGATTTGTGAACTAGATTCATCAGTATTCTCAACACCATTTTTGTTTCCTGTTGTGATATGTTCTGAAGATAATAAAGTTGATAGAATTACATTACAAACATGTGACAGTGAGAAATTGACTGTAAAATATTTGGCCACAGCTGTATCAACGAAAGGAAAAGTCTTTGTTTTTGATTTAGATTTTGGTGAAGTGAAGTGTTCGTATCAGCTGCCTGGTGAGGTGTTCTCATCTCCTGTAGTAAATGGAAATTATGTATATGTTGGATGCAGGGACAATCACGTCTACTCCTTAGCTATGATACTGGCCTAAATATGTAATGGAAGCATCATATTTCATTATTGTATTGTTCTTGTCATATACCCATGCAGATACATGTATATGTATGTACATTGCGATCAAACAAGGATTCTAAATAATTAATAAATTGCATTTGATAGACGATTTTAGAAATTTGGTTCAACGTTATAGGGTTACAGTTATCATTTTGAACACCCTATTCCCACCTGTTCTATTTTAAATAGTCAAATAATGAATACTGGACTGGGATAATTTTATTCACAATTAAGCAATAAATAAAAACTAAAACAGTATTTCCTTGATTTTAAGACACACTTTTTATGACATTTTAAAATGCTGCAAATATTTGTCTATTCTCTTTGTTTAAAACAATTTTTTTTCTTTTAGATATTCTCTCATTTTGCTTAAACAATTTTATTTCTTTATGTTGCTATGATTATTATGATTCTTGCGGTTAAAATTGTGAAGCTCTGGTTTACTAATTACAGGCAGTCATTCTCAAAAGCCCCCCCCCCCATTTTCTTTCTCTTTTTTTCACAACCATTTTGCATTTTTGAATATTAACAGATAACTGATACAGTTGTCCTCTTTCTGAAAGAGGCAGTTCCCAACTACCATCATAATTCTGTTTGGGATGGTAAAGTACACAATTGTTAGCTTTTGCAATATTTTTCTTATTCTGTTTAACCTACAACCCACACTTTTTTCCAAGTACACTAATCAACAAACTTGCCAAGTTCAAAATCTCATGGCCTTTTTCATTACTTGGTTTTCCATTTCTGAGGCATTTTGCTTAGCGGTTCCTAGCCTCATGCACAACCCCAAGCTGAGTAGGATTTTGAGATTCTCACAGTAGCAAGTATGAAGATACAATATTTTATTTTCCGTCTATACACAAACTTAAAATAATGTTGTTTAAAATTACTTAAAATTATAACATTCTCAGTAGATACTGCATCTTGTTACATTTTTTGTATCGACGACATGTTTCAATGTGTATCACATCATCATCAGGTCTATCAATTTTAATATATTTTAAAAACTGTTGTACATCTTGCGTTGCGTATATTGATTAATTTGATTTGTTTAATTTTAAGTTTTTGTCTCTTCCTTTAAATTTGGAGGTTGTGCTTGGATGTTTTATATCGGGTTGTAATTGATGTGTTGTGTGTCCGATATTAAGAGACGGTAGACTGCAATTAAGATATAAAGTATGAAGATGTTTGTCGAGTTGTAGCACTGTAGTCTGGTGGAAGTTTATCAACATTTCAGAGGTTCTTGCTGCCTCAGTCATAAGGGAAATAAGACTACATGGTGCTACAACCCAGAAGACTGCCATCAACCCAAAGCTGGATTACTGCCTCTTTGTCAGTGAATGCTTGCTTATTCAATACATTTGCAGCTAGCCTACATGTCTGGAGGCCGTTTCCCTCACCTGCAACTTGGGT